AAGGTGTCAGATTGTAACTTATCCACAAGGTCCCCTGGAAATATCAGGATTGTCTACTGGTGTATGCTTGTGCTGAATACTGAGTGCTGGGGATTGCTACACTGGATTGCCGCTGGCTTGCCTAATGCTAACAGTAGGGTAGTCACTTAGCTGTTGTGAATGAAATTCAGGATGGCAACTTTTAAACAAGTCAGTGATTTAGGGAGTCTATGTTCTGTTCTCAAAAATTGCTTACTGAGAGTCAATGAGATAATTGGTGCTTGCCAAGGTAGAATGAGAACCTGCAGCACATCTCCCTGGTGCCAGCTAATGCATGAAAGGATCCCAGGGTCACTGGGAACTGGCTTCTCTTTCCAACAACCTCACATCCACCAGAGGGTACAGACACATCTGTGATTAGTTACACCGGAATAAATGACCCTGCAGGTTTATAATCCAGCTTGCCCTGCAGGATGAACCATGTGTTTGTCCACATCTTCAGAGCCCCACTCAGGTCTGTTACACAAGTTCTAAGACATTGGTGAAGTGCTTCACATCTGAGAATGCATATAAGGCCACTGCCCTAACCAGCTGATGGACCATGCTTATGCATCTCCTGGGTGTGGACATGCCATAGATGTAACTGTTCTCACTGTTCAATGCCATGATATGGGAGGAAGGGAGACAACTCCCTTCAGCTGGTATTGCTTTGGATCAGATGCCAAAAGCCATCTGTCAAGCACCCTAAGGAAGGTAAATACCACCTTTTAGAGCACCAAACCTCACCATTTAGAGCAGTCTTGGAAAGAAGGAGGCCTGAGTTTAGTTCCTTCACTGACATTCAGGTATTTACATATACCTTTCCAAAAGATCATTTTGACCAGTAGGCACTGAAATTCCCTGAAGGCCAAGAAGAGAAAGTGAAGGCCTCCATGTGACAATGAAGAAATCTGGCCAGGGGACTCCATGATAAAAACCACCCTCCCACTGTTCCTCCATAGGCACATGAAAGACTGATACATAGACCCTGATGGGGATATGGTGCCTAAGTCCCTTGAAGATTCATTCATTAGTAAAATGGACAAAAATTACCAAATAAGTGCCAATAGCTGCTCAATACCCAGCTGTGGGCACTTCTGTTAATTACACTGTGTATCTATCTGCCTATATACTGGAACACGTGCATCTCCCTGAGTCTTGTGATATCAAATTAATTTTTGAATATGGGTTTTTGGATCTTCACTCACCTATAGATAAGTCTGAAAATGTTCTCAACAAAGAGTGCACTAAATAGTCTGAAACCTCAATAAGAGGTAGAGAAAGTTTACAGTGCATGGGGGAGAAAGTCAGAGGAGAGAATTGCAGATTTGGTGTAGTCTAAGAAACAGCCCAACGCAGATGTCTCTACGGCTTCCATTTTTCATAAACATGAGGATCAATATCTACAAGCCTTAGGCTGAAAAGGTGGTTTGGGAGGAAATGAATTGGAGATGCATGGAAAGTCAGGGATGGGTGTCACACATAACTGTGCTGTGGAAGTGAAGTGGAAGAATTTAGAAATCAAACCACAAAGACAGAACTATCAAAAATCCTGGAAAACAATCCATATTTTAAGTACAGATTCAAATCTAGGGAAAAAAAGTAATTTAAGAAAAAAGAAAGAAGTGGACATTTTTCTTTCTTTATCCCTTAAATAACTGAAGAAGTACCATAACAAGGCTAAAACTGCCTGTAGAACTTAAATCAGGGGCTGTAAATTGGTAGTGTGACAGCAGTAATGCACTTTATTTCACTGATTATCCTGGCACAAGTATATTGGTCAGGTAATTAATTCACGTGCTGAACACTTGACCCAAATTTTTAGGGCTAATCCGCTTTGTAATCTTCTAAATACCTGCAGGCAGAAATTTGTAGCAGGGATTTCAATACCTGTTCTTCTTTAGTAGTTGGGCCATAAGCTGAAATGTTCTGGCCACGCTAATCCTCATTAATAAGAAAGCATTTTATACTGAGACCCACACAGACAGTGTGTGGTTCCAGGTGAGTGCACTTGAAGCCCATTTTCTTCGCGCATTTCTTCTTCGTTCCCCATAATATTCACTGTTACAATGCTGCCACTTTTATCTAACTCCAAGCTCTTCCCGTACACTACGTCCTTTTGCATCAAGACTGCACACAGTAAGTGGGATTAATCTGCTCTGAACAAAGCATGTAAAAAGTTGGACATCTCGTTCTGAGCTAGGCCCTCTGCAAATCCTCTATGGACAGTGGAGAAAAAATGGCATCTCCAAGGGATGATTCATTTCACTGGAAGAGCACCATGAGGTCGGTCTGATGACTCATCCTCTGGAGATGCTTATTTTTCTCTGCTGACTGCAAAGAAAGCCCAGAATGGTCAGCTCGGAGTTGGACATCTGACCTAGTTCATGATAGAGAAATGCCACATGCTGTTTTAAAAATACTGTAATATTTATGTCAAATGGCCACACAGCTGCAGCATTACACTAGACTTTTGGATCCTTACTGCAGAACAGCAGAAGTCATTTTTTTGCTACTCTGCAGAATTTAATAGACCAAACACCTATTTTGGACACCTAGTATTTTCAAATTCTTCTTCATAAAGCAAGTGATGTATTGTAACTAATTACATAGGGCTGCGCAAAAACAACGGAAAAGGACACACGAAAAACATTCCTTAGATCAACTCAAATACAGGAAAATTCTTGAAAAAGGGAAGCTCATTTCTCAGTCTCATGTTTAGCAGTCTTAGGCATATACATGTATAAAGCAAAACATCATCCATCTGTTCGTAGCAAATTTGCAAAGAATTTTAATAAGGCACATTAATGCTAATAATGACCAATGTTTATGATGTTTATAAAACATCCAGTGTGGAGCATCTGGAAAGCTCATAAAGTTGTTCTTATAAAATGCATAGAGTGTAACACCTTTCCCTGAGCCTGTTTTTTTTTGCTGACCTTGTCATCATAGGCCAGATCTGTCAGAAACTCTCTTCTTCCAGGCATTGCTGTGACTGTGTCACTCATGTCACTCATGAAACCCATGTTTTGAAGCCAGACCTATTTCTGTTTAGGTAAGTTAAGCATTCAGCACATTACAGGAACAAACCCGATAGCCTAAACTGCAAGTTTCCACCTGAAACTACAGGGATCTCTATTTCCAAGTGACAGATGTTCTACAACAGTTGGTGACAAACAGGCTAATTTAGACTGATTTAACTAAAGTTCAGCCTGCTGACAATGGGGGATTTTATTTAATGCAGCTAAAGAAGGCATATCTGAATGCTAGGGCTGGCTGTTGCACACAAAACTACAGAGGCCCTGGTGTGAATTGAACAGCATGGCCATGTGTGGTGCCTGTGCGTCTGCTCCTCACACTGCCTTCTAGTCGCTGAGATGGAAGATGACATTGCCTAGCAAATTATCAAGGGAGTTAACCTGGTCTTTAAAATTTGCTTACTGAACGTACGTCCTCCAAAATCAAATTACTTTGGCCCAGAAACTTTCTTCCTAAGTTCAACCATCTAAGCTCTTAAATTAGAAAGACATGTGCCCTGGGGTGAATTGGATTTCTGAGAGCTGAGCTCTCCCTCACATATGCAGGAAGCTTTCAGGGGCTGCTTTCCTAACCCAGGCAAGTCCATCTAGGCTTCTGCTTTCAGCCCTAACTTCTGAAGGATGATCACTGAGGGACGAGAAAAATACTGCAGAAAAGCCTTTAGGGCTTATTTTTTAATGTAAAGATTAGGGGCATGATTCAGAAATTACAATGTAACAATTGCATTGTCCTCCATCTAGTAAATTGTATTCGGTTTTGTTTTTAATGTGCATAAGGGAGCTGGCTTCAGGCTCCAACCTTCTGAGTATCATAAAGCCTCTTACTTGAGTAGCCATGAGTAGACATGTTAAAAACTAGCAACAATTAAATTAGATATTTTCCTCCTTTCTTCATCTTTTCTTTTTTTCTTCTTTCTACTTTCTTCATCTTCTCTCTTCTCTTCTCTTCTCTTCTCTTCTCTTCTTTCTCCT